TTGAACTTGAATAGGAAGTCATATACTGGCAATCTAAATGTGACCTTAAAATTGACCTTTGACCTACTTTTCACCATGAACTGAACTTTGCAAATTTTGCTTCCCTTTTATCTCCAAAACTGGCAGAGATAGGTCCATAGTTACTATTGAACTTGAATAGGAAGTCCTATACTGGCAATCTAAGTGTGACCTTGAAATTGACCTTTGACCTACTTTTTATCATGAAGTGAACTCTGCTTATTTCTTTCTCTTTTAACTTCAAACTTGACAGAGATAGGTCCATAGTTACTCTTGAACTTGAATAGGAAGTCATATACTGGCAATTTACTGTGACCTTGAAATTGACCCTTGACCTATCTTACGAAGAACTTAAATTTGATTGTACCATATATATTTTTTGCAATAGTTAAAAAATTCTTGTTGATTGCATTTTTACAGCTTGTCAAGCACAAAACTGGTGGCTGTGTCCCTTATTTTGTGTATGTGGGGGTCTATACGAATGCGCTTGCTCCAGCTGGTGGTACAATATTCGGAGGCGGTATCGCCTCTCTGATCCTCTAGTTTTCAATCCGCTTTGGATCGGTTGTTCACATGCCCCTTCTGCCAGTTATTTCTTTTATGTTATCCTTGTACGGTAGTATGAATTGTGTTTGTCACTTCTGGTCAGTTTTATCGTTTATCTTGTATTGAATTTTATTTACCTAACAAAACAAAAAAAAAATGATTTACCAGTGTCAATGATGATTCATTCCACCATCTTTCGTTTGATCTCATATGAAACCAAAACATGCACTACCAACTGAGACACTACGAAGTTCTAGCATGCTGAGGCATTTGGGGGACATCATTTGCATTTGTATTATTATAATCCACTTCAGAATCTGTTGAAAATGTTAATGCATACTTTTTTCGCCTGTATGATGCATGGTTTCTGATTTTTTTTTCAGGTGGCCAGAGCTGGTCGTTTTGGTACCAAAGGTTTGGCCATCACACTTGTCTCAGATGAAAGTGATGCCAAGATTCTAAATGATGTCCAAGACAGATTTGAGGTCAACATTACAGAACTTCCTGATGAAATTGACCTTTCCTCATACAGTAAGTGTGGAGATGTCTTTTTTGTTCTGCTAGATTTCTACAACAAAATTAGATAATGAATATTGAGTTATTGCCAAAATGCAGTTTAGAAATCTATTTGACATGGCAATATTGTCTTTTATTTTTCAAGGCATGACAATTTAAGCTATATTTAATGAAGCTCTAAATATTGTCAATTGGGTCGATTCTTTTACAGTAATTGTTGCATTTGTTTTTCAGTCGAAGGACGTTAAGGAGCTAGGATGATTTTAAATTGTTTAATAAAAAAGAGACATTGTACAGCACAGAATTTTCCCACTGGATGTTGCAATGCAGACCTTTACTTCATTCTGATGATATCTCTGCAAAGAGCGATTGTTTGAAACCAGGTGTGCTTCACTTGATAACAGTTGAGCCTGGAGTTCCAGAAGGGAAAGATATCAAAAGTAGTTTTAAACAAACCCGTTTTTAATACACTGTCAGCATCCATTATATATTGTACATAAGAGTTATTTGGATTAAACTCAGGCAGAAAGTTTGATTTCTTCCATTGTCTGGCTTTGTCCATTAGGGAAAGTCTTATTGTATTGTGAGTAATAAGTAGTTTATGAAGTTTGAGTCAGCTCATTTTAAATCAATGAATATAAAATGCTGAAATAACGTTGAAAACAATTGAATGTAAATATTAAGTTCATTTTTTGCATTTTAATTGACTGGATGTTTTATGTAGTCGATGATCTCAAGAAATGAGGTCTGGTTTTATTGTGAAGAAATAAAAGAAAATCAGTCTTAGCTGTGATTGGAAATTTTGCTTTCAAAAAGATCAATTCAACAAAATGCAGAGCATGACCACGGTTTATTCATTTTGAAGATTTTGCCAACCAAATCCAGAAAATGAGCATTGGACTTTGCTATAAACCATGGAATTGTGCTGATAATGGTATAAAGCTTGGGTTTCCAGTAGATTATAGATCTTTGTGAAAGATAAGAACCAACCTGTGACACGACATGGAAAAGTATTTATTTTATGATATAATGTTCATTACAAAATTGCTGTTTACTGATGAATTGGGTTGATTCAGAACTTTACAAATTTGGAGTAAACATTCCTCGGAAACGAAGATGCATATAAATAGTACATGTACTACCCACCAATGGCAAGCCAGCAAAATTTTGTTAGAAGGAAATGTTAATAAGTCTGATGCTTTTCACCAAATTACCTTGCTGCCAATGGTATTAAATATACATTTAATACACAAAATTGACCACAAACATTTCTCAGCACTTGATACAAATGAACTGACAGGTGGAACCATTGTGGGCAAATAAATAAAGTGGAATAAGATTAATTGTCTACATACACATCAAATTCTGTTTTTACAATTCTATTTTTAAAGAATACATGAAGTTCTTATTTAAAGTCACATTATAGAAGGGTGATGCATTTCACATAAAATGCTTTCCAGTTTAAATGATGTCTCTATATATTTTCACATGGTTGTTGTTTCCCATGCTCCAAGAACAAACTTTGTACAGAGTCATTCTCACAACAACAGGGAATCCCTGTCACAAGGGCTTTAATTTAAATGATACAGTATCTGCATAGATCACCGCATGGAGTTCTGGGATTTTCCTGCATGGCTATCCACTGCTGCCTTCGTTGCCTCATACCAGGGCCCAATTTTTGTATTTGTACACATGTCCTTGAAAGCATCCAATCCCTCCATGGAACGCAGTACCCCATACACTGCCTACAAAAACCAATGGAAGTTGTTAAGTTTTTCACCCAATTGAATGATCATCATATAAGTAATTATGAAATTTTAACATACATAAGTTCTGGATTACCTGTTTGAGAAAACATTAATATTTCACATTGCAACTTGAAACACAGACATATTTAAAAGATGTTTTAAATTATTATTTTTTTTTCTGTTTGACATGTTATTGATATTTGGAATGATTATATCTTAGAAGTACAAAACACTTATTAAATATAATTAATTGGTCACAATAAAAAGATTTATGCGGGATGAGATTATCAATGTTAGACAAGCTTCCCAGGGAGCTTGGCTCTTATCAAGCAAGCTCCAAATGTTTCTTCCCTAATTTCAGTCAGGATGTCCCCTCTTTGTTTTTAACTTGCACATCATTTGGTTTTAACTTGATTTCTATTTTTCACCAAAATAAATTTTTAAAATGTGTAATCTTTATCCAGAGTCTGAAGTATATCTTCTATTTAGCATGATGACAAACATTCCTGAAAATGGGCACATTCCACGAATAATCACAAGCACAATGGGCTTTGGTCAAAGAGAATCTGAAAGCAGAAAATTCTTACATCAGACCTCTTCACCAGTACTTTAAATATATATGTTACCATGGGTGAGGATAACGTACCAAGTCGGACAAGTTTGGTCTGTCACCTCCCATGAACTGCTTCCCATCTAGACCACTTGTCCACTCATTTGCTGCATCATACAAGGACTCCCGTACATCTTCCTTCAATTTGTACCTAGATACAAGGAATATTTGTTATTAAGTGGCTCAATTCTTCATATTGCTTTAGTACGTGATCCAAAGGATGTGGACCTGAAAATGTACTCTGTCTCAGCTCTGGCCTCATGAAAATGTCTTTTTTAGGCCAGATTATAGCGAATGATAAGTTGATTAACTAATAAACTCTCTGTAAACAAGACTGGTTTCGTTGTTTTTGTTTTTTTTTAAACAAATGACATTTTTTTTAAACAAATGACATTTTTTTTAAACAAATGACATCTGACAAGCAACGTTTAAGCAGCTGAATTTTAGGGTTACGTATTTCATGTTTTCTTTTTCCAACTGCAGTTTTGTAACATTCACAGTTTGGGTGATTTTAGAGAATAATGCAACATCGTTACGTTTTTTCCTGGTATCATTTGCACATTTGTCCCAAATACCAATTGGGGCAAAAACTTTCGATTTCCTCAAAATTAGAGTCAGTCCTACTCTTTAACTAACTACTTACTCAATTTTGAGCTTGCCATCTACTGCTGAAATTTGACAAAAATGAATTTCAAAGATATTCCTCAGTCCAATTTGTACATAATATTCCCAAAGTAAACAGACTTGACAACCATATTTATCTCGTTTTCAACTGGATTGAGTCCATTTACTTTGGAAACTTTAGATGTAACATGCATCATTGTGCTACAACTGCTTAATTCTGCAAATCATCAAGTCAACACTCACTTCTTTCTGAGTCTTTGTCCTATTACATACATGGCTGAAGCGCCCACGTAGATAATCACATATTTAGCCCAAGTTCCAAATGCACTGTCATAATTCCCCCATTCTGCAAACTGGTAAAAGGCCTGCACTGCCTCTGGCATGGTTCTGTACACATTGGGGGAGATCATGTGAACCATCACATCATCAGCCCACTGTCTCCATTTCCTCTCCTCACTGAAAGTAAAACAAAATGTATCAAGTTTATAGCATCAAAATGGGCTCAAGATAGTATGTTTAATTCAACCTCCCCCGGATTACAATTTTTATCTTGGCAGATGAAAATTATGCATTTAGAATTTATTTTCATGAATTACTTGGAGAAAACTTAGTCATTTCACATACAAGTTATTTGTAGTCATTTTTCTGACCTATGCTTACCTTCGTCCAGCTTCTGTTCCATCTGCTTTGTTCTCCCCATACATAATAAAATACCTGTTAGGTATTTCCTGTTTTATCTTTTTCCTAAGCCAACCTTGTTCCTCAGATTCAAGCACTGGATAGTTCCTAATGACTTTTCTCAGATCAGCATAACCACCCTTCTCATGCATTACTGTTGCTAGCATGCTTATGATGGTGCTAGAATCCCTCATCTCCTACAGATTATACAAATAAAGAAAATGAGAAAAATTATTCATAGCAATAATATTTAGAAATATCTGATTCATTATATCAAAGTTATTTCACATGGGTAACATTCTTTGTTGGGTGATCTGAAATATTCTTTTAAAGGGGTATTTTTACAAGTATGCATCCATGTAAAATGTTAAGTACTGAAGGTTATTATTTTTATCAATAATTGACAATTTATAGTCTGTCTCTACTCAGTAGTGATTAACAATATTGAACAAAATGGCTAAATTATACTTCTAATCCTAAATTTAAATTTTGTTATGTCATGAGAAAGTTACTAGTAAAAAAGTTTGGGTGTTGTTTAAAAGAAAATGATAATTTAGGGGGAAAACGTATTTTGAAAGAAGAATGAAACATATCACTGAGAATTTAGTTTTTCCTTTCACCATGAGTAACTAAATACTTTTCGCTTGGCTAAAAAGAGAAGATTTATGAAATACATGAAATTTGACATTTCATTTTATACACAACTTCCTATTTCCTTACCAAAGGATTTTTACTTTTTGTGATCGCCTCATCAGAAAATTCATGAGCCAAGATAAGAGGGACTTTCTTGTTTTTCTTGCACCACCTCAATTCGCCCTTGGTGACAGGGTTGACCTCATACACTTGGTATGGTACTCCATAGTAATCCAAAAAAGCCCGTACTTTGCAACAGAATGGACAACTTTGGTATTGAAACAGCTGGAAAAGGATTTCAGAGGTACCTACCTCTCCTTCCTGAAAATATGAATTTCAAAGTGATTACAGGGCTTGACATAACTAAGTTGTGCAAGCAAGTCTAATAATCTACTTTCCCCACTCCAAAACCAATGCCTCTATGCCTAACAAATATGAATACTAGTAGAGGGAAAACACTGATATTTTGCTTTTTGACATGCAAGACTACTAGATTATACTTAGTCTAGTAGTTACTGCAACAGTGCATGTACATGTAAATGGGTGTGCCTATTTAATAATGAATGGTTATGACATCCACCTAAAATGAGACTGACATCCACCTAAAATGTGAGAAAAGGTGAAAATTGTCATTATGTATATATATATATATCTAGATGAATGATATTACTTTTCTCGCATCAGAGAAAAAAGCATATAATTATCTACGACCCTGAAAGGCATTTGACATGACTTTTATATACTACTAGATAATTTTTTGGCAGGAAACAAGGTGAATAAGTCTCGAAGTATGGTAACATTGGGGAGTCATGTTGCTGCATCTATTTTTGTTTCCAAAGTAGCAAAGAGGAGTAGTAAGCCTACGGCAAACATTAAATGAATTAAGAAGTGGTAAGGTCATTGAAATATGCCTGAAGAAATTATATAAATGCATTTTTATTGTTGATTCTGGTAATCTGAAACTTGATTCCAGTGGATTCTGGTAAATAACTTTTATTCTGCTTTACAGAAAATGTAGTACAGTGCAAAAAAAAAAAGAAATCCAGTCGCAAGTAAACACAAGAAACAAACATACACAAGAAAACGGGGTACTAATATAAGAGCAATATACATTACTAGGTAAATTATAACATTGATCCAACTTTACAAATCGGTACAATTGTTTATGTTGGGGCATGGCCTTATTGCCAAGAAGAGCCACTCGACAGGATGCGCTACTTTAATATATGCCAAAGAAGTGGCTGACCATCAATACCAGATACTATTTGTGGCCTTGACTGGCAATTAGGGCCTGGCCTTTGTGGCACACATGAACAGTAGTCAATCCACCACACCTGAGTCTTTTGTTTTTGTCAACCATTCAGTCACTGGGGTTTTTGTTAAGTGTGGCTTCTTTAGATAGGTATATCACAATCCGTTAGGGGCGCTACAGTAGAACCTATCCAACCGTAGTGCTGGGGAAAGCTGTTACCAGCCTGCTCACAGGTGGCAGATGACATTCCATTCAAAAATCTTTTAGCACTGTATAAATAAACCAATACAATCCATTTACTAACTAAGCTGGCAGCCAAAGGCTAAATTCCGGTTACCTTACCTTCCCATGTTGCTATCTTTGAGAACACTGATTTGCCGATTTTTTGAAGTTTTGCCTCGACGAAATGTTTAAAATTTCAGATAAGTACTGCATGTAAGTTTTTGTAATTTATGCCGTGTAAAGTTCATGAAATTTGCAATATTATGGCGAAAAATCATGAAAATTGAACCATGCGAAACAAATTTTATTTGATGCGCAATATTTATAGTACATGATCTGCACGGAAGCCATTCTAGCCATGTGCTTGTGTGGTCGCCATTTTGGTTTTGTTTCTGGGTCATTAGATTTACATAGAGCCCTAATTGTCTTAATTGGTCACAAACAATTTGAGCCAAAGGCCCATTCACAGGCTGCTCTGCTGCAGTTGAGTGATCACTGCTGGTCAGTGGTCACAGGTTTTTAGCTGAAAACTGTGGACACTTTTGGTGAAATTTAGCAGTTAAAACACTTCAATATCTTTGTTGCTTGTAGGAATATTTTAAAAATTCCAAAAGAATTCATCTGTTTTTTTTTTTTTTTTTTTTTTTGCATTACCTTTCAGAAGATATTAGTATTATAATTTTCTGATCAGTTTGAAATTTTTTCTGATATACCTACTTTACATAAGTTCCTACAATTCACAGTTTAATGTGTGTACATACCCTGAAAATGGTTAGGGCTTTCAAGGTTAGGGCTAAAGAGAACAAATGCTATTACTCGCCCTCTCTTGGATTACCCCTGCCACATGCCGATTTGTTAATTTGTTTCAACTATTATTAATTAGTTAGTATGACCGGGGGGAAATCATGCAAAAATATTATATATTTTGCCTAACTACCATCACTCATACATCTTACCACTCTGCTAGCATTCAGCACAAGCCTGCTATTTTTATATCCAAGGTAAAATCCAAGAAAGAAACCTCCAATAATAAAGTGCAATTGATATCCCTTTCTATCATCTGAAAATTCTGGTCTTTGGCGAGGTAAAATGGGTGGCATATGTGCTGGTGTCTTCGCTCGTTGTATCTGTCCCTGATATTTTCTAACAGGAGGTACTCCATTATGACTCCTTGGAACTGTGACTAGTAAAGGTCGTCTGATTCCTAAAGAGTATAAACTTTTAATGCGACATGACAGTCCTAGGAGCGGTGCAGACCTGCAGGCAGACATGTTTTTACGTAAATCATTGGCTTGTCTTGCGGGGACTCTCTTGATATGTTCCCCAAATACTTTTTATCCGATAACGTTGAAAGAAATATGAGGATATGTTTTTATTAAAGATTAATGAAATAAATATCTAAATTTGTTTATTAAAATTACCGTTTGCAGTACAGTTAGATCTGATGCAAAATCAATACTTTATATATATTGAATTGTTTTTAATCGGAGTTGCAATGTTAGAACAAATCAGCCCTATGTAGTCTAAAAACGAGGCTCTATCTCATGCAACACATGGAAAGCCGTAGAGAAATATATTTAACACCGGTTAAAAGGCACCTCTACACACATCTTGACTGATACCTGACGAAACTTTAGCAGCAGTTCATCCAGGGAGTTTATACTGGGTATGTAGATCAGCATTTGGGTTTTCGATAAAATTAATGTCCCATTCAACCGGTAAATAAGGCGGATTTTATTTTACTAGCAGCAGACGCCTTCAACTTCAAGCCTCAAGGTGCGTGGCAGTAACTGCCAACAGAGTAATATAAGGTCTCCATAAATTGTTGCCTGTTTGGCTTCTGTAGCCTTATTGTTAATCGAATGCATCGATCAAGAATAAAGTTGAACATGTGATGCAATTATCATTCTGAAAAATTATGAGTGGCTGTGCCCTGCCAAAATGTGTACCATCTTGGAGGGTGTCACTAAATACTTAAATATCCCCAAATTCCACAAAATACATGAAATACTATCTTAATAAGATGATTTTAACATCAAAATAACTTTCCAATTTTTTCCACTTTAAGTTCCATTTGAGTTTAACTCAACACAATGTTTCGAACTCTGTCGATCAAGATCTTGATTCTGGTTGATTCAGATAATTAGTATGACTGGTGTGGCATGAATCGTTTGGGGCGTGAACCATCCTTTCAGCTCATGCGCATCAAGCAGAGGCAAATCTGAGAGACCTCCAGGGTGTGCAGTCCGTCTCTATCGATTCATCAATACATTATGCTTGATATATATTAGATTTATATTAGATTTGATAAGTAGAATTGTGTAACAGATGATAAGAAACATTTTAATTGAAATGATATATAATCTTTCATTTTCTGAAAACGGGTAAATGTTCAGTTTGAGATTGAAATAGTATCAGGATTGGATCCTGTTTTATATATATTTTAGACAACAATTTTGAACATTAGATATATTAAATGGAAATCATTTCCTTATCAATAGCATCTTATTTTGCAGTGACTATGGCTGACACAGCAGCAAATGGTGATGGGGAACCTGTGCAGAAGACACCAGCACAGCTGCTAAAAGAAGCTAAAAAGAAGGAAAAAATGGATAAATTTCTGGCAAAACAGGCCAAGCAGCAGCAGAAGAACACTGAAGGAGCTGGAGAGGTGTGTTTTCATTGAAAGAAATAAGGCCCTGATCAAATTTTCTTTGTAAGTTCTAACTGTAATTTAACAGTAAAAGTAAATACTTCTTGTGTATACTGTACTAAGTATTTTAAAGAAACAATATATGTAGTTATTTTTATTTTAAGAAAAAGAAGCCTGCCAAAGAAAAGAAAGAGAAAGTCATCATTACATATGACAAGAACACTCCTGAAGGAGAAAAGAAAGGTAACAAGTGCAAGAAAACAAACACTTGTTGTTATTATTATTATTATTATTATTATTATTATTATTATTATTATTATTATTATTATAAACTTCTTTATTTTTGGGTCAGTGTTATCTTTTTTGGAAACACCAAATTGACTTAAATATCTATTTATAAATTATTGATATTATTAGAGAATACCATATGCTTTTTTTATTCAGATGTGAGTGGTTCCATGCCCGAAGCCTACAGCCCGCAGTATGTAGAGGCAGCCTGGTATAGTTGGTGGGAGAAAAGTGGCTTCTTCAAACCAGAGTATGGGGTGTGTATAAATTGCATACAGTATGAGAATATAAGAGTGCTCTTCTGTATACTGTATCACCAGATGGCAGCAGGGTTATCAGGTTGGCACATGGAAACGAGTTGTTCTTTAAAAGGTGGAAACAACTTTTTTGATCATTCCAATTGATTTACACTGATAATTTTGTAATTAGAATTGTGACAGAATTGATGTTTTTTTCTTGAAATTCCACTGATTCAGAGATCCTCGGCCTATGAAGACAATCCTAAAGGGCAGTTTACAATAGTAATTCCCCCTCCCAATGTGACAGGTAACCTACATCTAGGGCATGGTTTGACTAATGCTGTGGAGGACTGCATCACAAGATGGTAAGTTGGAGACTTTTCACTGCTATGTTGTAATAAACTAAATGCTCTCATGATTGTTATCAGTGCAGAAAGATAATGTTCATATTTTTATTTTAAGTTTAACTTTTTAGTTAAAATTATTGATATTTGGGCTAAAAACTTAATGCATAGGGTTTTCCTTCATGCTCAGCATTTGAAGTGAAACCACCCTGCATGTAGGGTGTGGCATTGCAGTTGTTTCAGCTTATGTTTGTCTTTAGGCACTGAATGAGGTGAAACCCAGGGTAGGATTAAGCTCTAATTGTGGAATATATGTCATATGAATTGTAAAAACATACTTGTACCGAAATAAATAATAATTAATAATAATAATTTGACTGTATGATATTTGCCTTAAGGCACAGGATGAGAGGTGAAACTACCCTGTGGAACCCAGGGTGCGACCATGCTGGTATTGCGACACAGGTGGTGGTGGAGAAAAAACTGATGAGAGAGAAGGGACAGAGCAGGCATGATCTGGGAAGAGAAAAGTTTGTGGATGAAGTGTGGAAATGGAAGAACGAGTGAGTTCTCGATTAAAATATTGGAAGACTCAGTTGATATATTTGTTAAATATTATGTTATATAAATGTGAATAAGGTGGTAGGTTGTTATGTCTTATTAGATAATTTTAGGATATGGAAATAATGATGTCAGATCACTGGGTTTTGAACAGATGAGAGCAAGTCCTGACAATAATTTAGATATTTGCATAAATACAGGATAACCATTTTCAATGCGTGTTGGATTAGCAGATATTTTGTTCTGCTGTGTATATATTTTAATGTCATGCATGTTTTAAATCATTGTGCATCTTGTCCGTGATTTTAGGAAAGGAGACAATATCTATCATCAGCTCAGGAAGATGGGCAGTTCATTTGACTGGGAAAGGGCTTGTTTTACCATGGACCCTGTGAGTACTCGCTGAACATCACTGATCACATGCTGGTTTGAATTCTTTTCATTGATTGATAAAAGTGATAATGATTGATCAGTTAAGTAGATAAATAAAAAATATCGTAATTATGATTTTCTTGTTGTCTTCAGTTCAGCATTTATTTGGTTCAAATATTTGATGTTGTAGGTAATTTTCAAACTGATATATTTGGAGAAAAATGAGAGTACTAGAAGAAAACCAGTAATGCAACATCAGATAATTGTGACCCTTGATATGGATATTCATTTCTTATAGAAATCCCAACTGATTTTCCCAAAGGCCCAAGTTATTAAGACTTTAACACACAGATCCTCATATTATTTTCCTGTATTTTGTTTATTTTATTTGAATAATGCATCACATTGTATTTTCTATCAATTCAGAAACTCTGCATTGCTGTAAAAGAAGCTTTTGTGAGGCTCCATGAGGAAGGAATTATATACAGAAGCACAAGACTTGTAAACTGGTCCTGTACCTTGAACTCTGCCATCTCAGATATAGAAGTAAGTATTATATGTATATTATGTACAGGGACATGGGTTCATCTCATTTTCATGTCTGCTATTTCAAATAAACAGGGCTATGGTTTATACATTTCAAACAAATGTTATTAAAATGTGTTTAAAATGTTATTACAATGTTTCAAGAAAAATGCTTTTCAACTTCGTGATAATGTTTCTAGAAAACATAATGTTTTTATTTTTTCCTTTTTTCCAAATTATAACCATATTGTTTCCATGTAATTAAGTAGGGTGTTTAATTGTTTAGATATTGATTTGGTATGGTTTCAAAAATGTTTTAACGTTTTTGAGAAACATTTTTAAAAATGTTTGAAAAGATAATGCTTATTACATTGTTTCAAGAGAAACATTTTTAAATGTTATAATGTTTATGAGAAAACATGTAAGGAAACGTTATCTTAATGTTTTTTTTCTTTTTTTTTTCATTGTAATTAATTAGGGTGTTCAAATGTTGAGACATTCAAAGTAAGACCTTTTTTTGTAATAATCTCTTAAGGATATACTACTNTTTTTTTTTTCTTTTTTTTTTTTCATTGTAATTAATTAGGGTGTTCAAATGTTGAGACATTCAAAGTAAGACCTTTTTTTGTAATAATCTCTTAAGGATATACTACTTAATTACATCAAAACAGAGTAATCTTTTTTTCTCAACATCAGTCACTTAAAACATATGCATTGTGCAATACTGAAAATCTCACATTGTTCTCCTGGTTTAATTATCAGGTTGACAAGAAGGAGATCACGGGCAGGACCCCCCTTCCAGTGCCAGGGTATAAGGACAAGGTGGAGTTTGGGGTATTGGTGTCCTTTGCTTACAAGGTGGTAGATTCTGGTGGGTATATTTTTTTATTGTTTTATGTAAAACAATTAGTTTGTATTTTATAATTTTTAACTCTCAAATTTGGGGTTATAGCATCTTGCCTTGTGGAAGAGAAAGTTTTGAAAGTTGCCTGATTTATTATAAAAATTTGTTGGAACATTTATGAAAAGAGGAATTTTAGTGGAAGTTATATATTATTCAAGTGGCTGGGTTTTTTTCCTGAAAGAGAATTTGTTGAAGTTTATCAGTCTTGTTTATGTGAATCTCTTCAATGATTTGAAGACAACTTGGAATTTTAAGAACTGGACTTATTTTATTGGATGATTACAAATAAACAAGAAAATCATTGTCTGTAGTGTGTTCTGACTGCATCACTTGACACACTACATGGCAATGCCTGAATTCTCTTATTCTCTTCACTCCTTTCTTTCCTATTCCTCAGTTGTCTATCTTATCTATCATTAGATGCCAAGTCTGTCTTTCCTCTGCTATTTTGTTGAGCTGAATGGATAGTATTTTGCTCAAACCAGCATTTTTTTTATGCTTGGTGTGTGTGCTCGCTCTGAGCTACTTTCAGTACTAGGTAGTAAATTTGGGAATGGATCTTTTAGAATTTTTGGTGGATATTTCAACATGTGTATGTGTTCATGCATATCAGAAGGTTTCATCTGTTTCTTTTTATGTTAAAGTTCTTAATACAAACTCTCCCCCCCCCCCCTACCACCCTGTTAGTAACTACTTCAATGTTGAAAAAAAGAGATAAATCTGTTTATTTCAGATGAAGAAGTAGTTGTGGCCACCACTCGTATTGAGACCATGCTGGGAGACTCAGCCGTAGCTGTACACCCTAGTGATGAGAGATACAAGCACCTGCATGGGAAGTATGTGCAACACCCATTCTGTGACAGAAAGATGCCAATTGTGTGTGATGAGTTTGTGGACATGAACTTTGGTACAGGTAGGTATACAAGCCCCACAGGATGGCTACAGGTAGGTATACAAGCCCCACAGGATGGCTATTCCATGAAGCATATATAGTTCAGACTTAAGAGAGTGAACCAAAAAGGGGTTTTATAGATATTCCTTATGTAATAGTGAAAAAGTAAAGTAAAACCCATGTTTTTTTTTTCACTGTAACCACATTGATTTCTTAATTGTACTTTCAGGTGCTGTGAAGATCACCCCAGCTCATGATCACAATGATTATGATGTAGGCAAGAGGCACAACCTAGACTTCATCACCATCATAGATGACAGTGGGAACATTTGTGGAGACTGTGGGATATTTACTGTAAGGAAAATGTCATTGAGAGATCTTTATTTAGGATGGTTGTAACTGAGAGAGCTTTTTGGTTGCTGTGGTCAGGAAAGGAATTTGCAGTATTAGTTTAAATGGTTATTGTTAAAGGTGTTGTTGTAATGATAAGTATTGATGTTTAGAGAAACTACTGGTATCAGTGAGAGATATTTACAGTAGAATTTAGAACCTATGTTGAATTTACTCCAATCTCGTGATTCTTTTTAAATCTCCAGGGCATGAAGAGGTTTGATGCTAGGAAGGCTGTATTGAAGGAACTGAAGGAGTTACAGCTGTTCCGTGATATACAAGATAATCCTATGGTGGTGCCAGTCTGCAGGTAACTTAAAATATAAAAATTATGTTGAAACTTACTAGTAGGTAGATGATATAATAATGGTGGCAATATATTGTACTGCAGATGTTTTCATTTATATGACACTTTTTGCTTGTGAAATATTCCGTGTTACATCTGTAAATTATGTGCTGAAAAATATATTTAGAGGTGTGTTTTGAACTAAAGGAGAAAAAAATTTACTATTCAATATTGTTTTGATGTTACTTCTAATGATAAAAATGAGCTATAGATTATGAAATCATCAGGGTTTTATCATAGATGAATGTCATAAATACTATTCAAGTGTTGATGTGATTTTCAGTCGCTCCAAAGATATCATAGAGCCACTGCTGAAGCCCCAGTGGTATGTGGACTGCTCTGATATGGCCAGTAAGGCAGTAGAGGTAAGGGAAAGAGAGGTTTTATCTAAGGAGGGTGACATAAGTAACTTAAGGTTAAAGACTAAGCTTTAAAATTGGCAAGAGTGACAACTTTTGCCAATGTGTATCAGCAAATTGACACAAAATTTGTTGTCTGATTAGCTGCTCTGCTTTTTGATGAAACTTACAATAATTTTTCTTCTGTCCATGAAAATGTATATTTTATAAACTACAATTAAGGAGGACAAATGTTATTTATTTGATTTCAATTCTGTGTTGATTTTGGATTCAGAAATTATATGAATAAATAGTCAATGAGGTAGACAATGAGTAAGGAAGTAAATGAATAGCAAAATGAATAATAAAATTAACTTTGATAAGACCACATTATAATTCACCACCTTGTTTGTCTCAGGCTGTGAAAAGTGGCGAACTGAAAATCATTCCTGACATCCATCTGAAGACGTGGTTCAACTGGATGGAGAACTGCAGGTCATTATGTCATCTAACATGGTTTTGAATTAAGTTATTTTTTCTTTGATATATTTGGTCATGCCTGTAATAATTTTTTTTAATTGTAGTTGTTGTACTTTGTGTAAGAAATTATACACCCCTAATCCTTGTGTAAGTGAATTTCTCAGTAATGTGATTGAAACATTCCTGCATACTTTCTTGATTCCCCAGTTTTTCCCCTATTCACAAGTGTTTATAATGATCTTTAATTTTGTACAGAGATTGGTGCATATCTCGTCAGTTGTGGTGGGGCCACCGTATCCCAGCATACTTTGCTGAAGTCAATGATCCGAATGTTCCAAAGGGAGAGGTACAGAAAAGATTTGAATTTATGTCAGTATTTTAAAAATCATAAATCTGTTCAAGTTTAACATTGTTTTTTATACTTTGATTGTGCTAGCCTTGTGTACATTATAATATATTAACTGACTATCATCTCTTCTGTGAATTAAGATAGAAGTCAATGATTTTGTGTTAATTAGGAATCAGATGGCAATTATTGGTTCAGTGGTAGAACTGAAGAAGAGGCCAAAGAAAAGGCAGCTGCCAAATTCAAGGTCACTCCCGATAAAATTATACTTAAGCAAGGTAGGGATTTTGGTGAGAAGTGCTTAGTAAGACAACTAGAGGAGAAAAATGCTTTTAAGTAATACGTGAGTTTTGTTGAGTCGGTGCTTTCATGCCCTTTATCTTACTTGATGTCTTGTCCAGGGACATTAAACAAATTTTCAGAGTATTAGTTATAGACTTTCCTTGTCAAATTGCAGAAGAATATTAATGAAAATGTCTGGATCTTAACATATGTTACATCACTTGGTTATAAAGGGGAGCTTGCTAAGGTCACAATATTAGGATTATCAATTCTGTAATCATGATTGAATTACATTGACAATACATAATGTTGGTAACTTTGCCAATTATGGGGTATAAGGATTCATGACATACATACCTCACACTGATTTACCTGTTTAATCACTGATGATTTATTTATTTATTTATTGTAGATGAGGATGTGCTGGACACATGGTTCTCTTCAGGTCTCTTCCCTTTCTCTATCTTTGGATGGCCTGAACAGGTAACTGAAAGTGTTTAAGCTTTTATCTAAAAAGTAGAAACATATGGCCTTGTAAACATCTTTGAGATTATGTTGTTATATTGAAATCTGCTAGGAGCAGTCTTAAGAGGCCTTTGATATGCACCCTTTACAACTGAATGAACTGTTGAAAGATAAATCTAGACTAAGTTGGTAAAAATTGAGTCATTAAATTTAAAGTAACTTAAGGAGATAAAATTTTGGTTTAAATAAGTTTTATTTGATGTAGAAAAAACATATAAAACACATAGAATTCTCTTATTAAGCAGTTTGTTATATTATGTCATGAAACAGGTGTGTATATGAACAACATTTTAACAGTCTAAATGTTTCCCTCCCCCTAAAGACCCAGGAGTTGGATTTCTTCTACCCTGGAACTCTGTTGGAGACTGGTCATGATATCTTGTTCTTCTGGGTGGCCAGGATGGTGATGCTGGGGACCAAGTTGGTGGGAAAATTGCCTTTCAAAGAGGTATAAGTAGACCAAAAAACTTATAAAACAATATGAGCAAACTGTTATATGCATAGACTATGAGAGACATGTTATAAATTATGTTAAAGTAACCAAGTGAATTTTAAAAGCTTGATTTCAGAATTTTTCATTAAGGTGTTTATAGTTTTATAGATTTATAGTTTTCATGGACAGTTATTATTGTATCAAAATAGTTAAACAGGAAATTAAAATACGATGCATGCAATACAAAATTGCAGCAATCTCAATTTAGTTGGCCATTAAATTTTCATATTTGGTGCATTTTAAGATGCAGATCTTTTTCTTACAACATGTGATTTTGATCTCTGAGTGTTATATTTTTTAAGGTCTACCTCCATGCCTTGGTTAGAGATGCTCACGGCAGGAAGATGAGCAAGTCCCTGGGTAACACTATAGACCCAGTGGATGTGATCAATGGCATTTCACTTGAGGTAAAGATCTCATAATTTATTTTATTAGAATGATTCAGATCCTGTGGAATTACAGAATGATGCACCTTATGATAGAGAGTTAACTGAGAAGATTTTAGATATTTGTATCTTAAATAGTTTCCGTATATTCCTTCATGTGGCAAATGAAAGAATTTACTATTGATTCACTACCTATATTTTGTAGCATATGAAGACTCCTAACCAATAAATTGTGTTCCAGTATTTGGATCTTTTCGTATTTGTTATACCTTTTGTTCTTTTGGAAGTAAAAGTGTGTTGCTTTCTTTGTAGGATTTGCACAAGCAGCTATACAACAGCAATTTAGATCCTAAGGAAATTGAGAGGGCCAAGAAAGGACAGGTAAGCTAAAGTTATAAAAAAGGTAATATTTGGTCAAGTTATCAATTTTAAAAGCTTTATTTGCCCCAGCTGATAAGAATTCACTGCAGTTCCCCAGTTGTAGAACTAAAATGTATATAATGTTTGCATATAGAATTTGTTCACCTTTTAGTAAAAAAGAAAAATGAAGTTTTTTTACAAAATATCTAATACTCCTTTCAGAAAGAAGACTTCCCTAATGGTATTCCTGAATGTGGAACTGATGCATTACGTTTTGCCCTCTGCTCATATACCTCACAAGGTAAGGTAGGATTTCTGTGATATGACTACAGTGCAGTAATTCATAAATCTGAGTAATGATATTTTCTTTGGTTTGAAATGGGAAATTTGGTTTTGTAATCAGCATATTTTAGTTAACACATTGACAAGGTCATGCTGTGTCAATGGAGGTCAGTTTTGCTGAAGTAAACTATAATTTTTTAATACAAATAACTGTATTATAGGACGTGACATTAACCTGGACGTGCTGCGTGTCCAGGGGTACAGGTTCTTCTGTAACAAGCTCTGGAATGCCACCAGATTTGCTCTCGGTGGCCTCGGGGAGGACTTCAAACCAGAGGCAACATTGAAGGTATGGATGACTGTATATGTTATCCATTTGATAGGTTAATAACACCATATATTCTTTGAGTTGGCACCACATATTTTTCTGTGATTTGAAAATGAAAATAAAAAATATATTAATCCTAAATAGAAGTCTTGAGTTAATTAATAGTTTTATATTTCAGTTCAATTTCTCAGTCATTTTGCATTAATTGGTTATTCATGAATTTGAATTTCCAGCTGAGTGGCAGAGAAAAGTTGATGGACAAATGGATTTTGAGTCGCCTGAGTTATGCTGTGGATATGTGCAATAAAGGTTTTAAGGAGTATGACTTCCCCACCACCACAACTGCCATCTACAATTTCTGGCTGTATGAGCTCTGTGACTGGTACCTGGTAAGTCTTGGGAAGACATACAATTTATTTTTTAAAACTGCTATTTGATTGAAATATTCACAGTCATAGAATATGTCTCTATTAGACATTGAAACTTATATGGAGATTTAATTTTTGGCTTTTTTTTTTACTTTTTGTCAAAATAATTTAACTTGTTTGATTTTGTTTTGAATCCTGAGATGTGTGAAAATCCAAAATGTGGTGACTTAGTTTTTGAAAGATATTTATAACATCTCGATTAGATTTTTAAAAAAAATCCTTTTTTAACATCAGAATGTTTTTAAATGTAACAAACTTTGTTTTCTAGGAATACTTGAAACCCATTCTGTATGGAGAAGATAAGGATGCTATAGCAGTTTCTAGAAATGCCCTGTTCACTTGTCTTAATGTAGGACTGAGGCTAATCAGTCCATTCATGCCTTTCCTGTCAGAAGAGCTCTTTCAGAGATTGCCAAGGCGAACTGACAATGAACCACCGAGCATCTGTGTGACATCGTATCCTGAGGTTGAAGAGGTAAATGATTTAAATTAGCACATGTGTCTGATTCAGCTTCAACTTCAAAGAAGTGGTTTTTATGCCTTGATGTAAGCCCCTTGTCAGTTCTTATTATTAAAAACCTGACAAGCAGGCTTGTGCAAGTCATACAATGGAAATACTTGGTTCTGAATTTACAGACTGGTCAGTTAACAGTGTAAGGTACTGGAATACTGAGTTCTTTGGCTCAAAAAATTTGTGCTTTCCTTTTGGAAACCCAGTGCAAAGCCTGAGGTTATTTTCCTAGTATGTCCCAGCCACAAAGAAACATTTGTCATTTTTAGCTATTTTATTTATGAAAATACTATATTTTGCATTCTGTCAGTTTCCATGGAGAGACACCGAGCTGGAATCTGGAGTGGATTTTGCCCAGAATGTGGTGAAGACTGTGAGGTCAATGAGGGCAGATTATAACCTGACCAAGACTAAAGCTGACTGTAAGTGGTCAATATCTTATTTTCTACATTCTTTTTGTCATGGCTTGCACTGAACTAACTAAGATGATTGATGGTCATTGGTTGTGCACAGAAGAATTTATTTGTATGATTATCTATGGTAAAGGTTTGTCAGTAATCTGTTGCAGATTTCAGACAGGAACTTTTGTCCAGTAGCATGGACTTGACTCTCAGGTCATTATAGTGTGCATCATCTAGGAATTATTGAAAGACATAAGTTTTTGTGGATGGAATTGTAAGTAATAATCCAGTCTGATCACTGGGTGTTAAGATTTTTTTATTGGAATTTTTGTGCAAATAGAGGGGATTGGGCTGCATCTTGATATGAAAACAAGAAGAAGAATTAACTAAATTTTAGAATTACAATTATCTTACTCCTGTAGTGTACTTACGTCTGCACGATGAACCCACGGCAGCCATGTTGCAGAAATATTCAGACGTGATCCAGACTCTGTCCAGTTCGTCAGCTGTGACCATCCAGGTGGAGGGGGAGGTCCCCCAGGGCTGTGCTGTCAACACTGTCAATGCCCAGTGTGAGGCACATATGATGTTGAAGGTAAGGGGAACACCAGATGTGATATTTGGCATATCCGTGAGAGCTTTGCCTTACGTATCTAGGTTTTGTTAAGTATGTTAAATGATGTGTTGAGGTTAAATCTCCTCAGATCAGAATTTTTATGTGCAGACACTGTTGTGTTTTCAAGAGTCTGCCTCTGTCATAGCAGTACTGTTAAATTTTGAATTCCATTTCTTTTGTGCAATATTAGGTTAAGAGTTGAGAGTTACTTGTGTGAACATTCAAACAGGATGTGATTTTTGTTCAGTTCTGCTTGTCATCTCATATTCTTTAATGGGCTGGTGGTAACAACACTGTACTTCATCTTATTCTTATTCCAGGGTTTGATAGATGTTGACAAAGAAATAGATAAGCTTAACAGCAAGAAGAGTAGTCTACTATCCCAGCAGTCCAAGATAGAGGAGAAAATGAAAAAGGCTGATTATGCACAGAAAGTCCCTGAAAAGATTCAGCAACAGGATGCAGACAAGGTGAGAGGAGGAATGGAAATCTGAGATGGCCTGAAAAGAGACCTTAACGAATGTTCATCACAGTGTTTGAAAAAAATCATGGAGAAGAGAAGCGGTCACAGCGTGAAAAATACTTAGGAAATGCAAGTGTGTAGTGAATTTTGATTCCAAACATTTGATGAAAAATGGGGAATTGACTTGTTTTGTACCATTCTGTGGAAGCCCCCGAGACAAATTTTCGCCGGGGATATCACCTTTTTTGGTCTTGTCATTTGTAACATTTATATTTCAGTTAAGGCTCACTTACAACTTCTAATTCTCGGTTTTATTTTATTTTCAGATGGCAGAAATTTCCCTGGAGATCCAGAAGCTGACCTCTGCCATGGACCAGCTGAAACTTATGAAATAACGGCCCTGTGACACTAACATATAACTTATCATGAATGTGGACTGTACTCACATTGCCAAATTACCATTTGGGTTTCGTAATTTAATGCCAAGAGTCCTAACAAGAATGACAATTTTCTGAATATCCAAAAAATGAATTTTTTCCATGTCTTTAGCCACATATCTCATTTGTGTCAATCTGTGTGGGCATATTGTTTCAAAAATACCTTTCTCATCACAATGGACAAAATAATCATCGTCAAAGAATAGAAGCAATGGCAAGCACAACGGGCACCATTAAAATTAAACTTATTTATTGATGTCTTTGAATGGTTACAATTGATGCTGATTGATTTCAGATGAAGAAATAACGTAAAATATTACTCCTTATTGTCAATTGTTGATGTTTTTCATTGTAAATTATTTGCAAATTTCTTTTCTTCTTTGGGATCTTCCAGTTATTGAAATAATACAGCATATTAATGTTTTCGTTTTCGGGCATATGATTTAAAAAAAAATGCTGTGCAAATTTGTATGTAATCACTCAAACTAGTTTTGACAAAATGTTATGACGTTTCAGCTCAGTTCTTGAAAAGATCATCGACAAAAATGTGTTAGCTGTTTGATCCAAATTTTTTCAGCAGCTCCTTTTTCGTAAGAATATTCTAGAGAGTTACTGGTAATACGATATGCAGTCTGGACAACAATTTATTTCAGGTAAATTAATGCTACATTGCTTTACAGATATTAAGTCTAAAATAAAGTCTATCTACCGCACAAAGTTAACAACACACCGCTCGTGCTAAAAAAACTTATGTCCAATTTTCCTAATACTCCCCAGCTCTCTCGTTCGGAATCGATACTTCACACACGTGCACTAAAATTAATAGAATTTCACTCTCCGTACTTATTAACCGGGTTGTACAACACGAGTTTGCTTGCGTAATAAACATACTTTTCAAAAACCAAGCGCATAAACTCTATAACCACATTTAATGACCCTTGACTGTAATACTAGTCCAACATTAAAAATAAAACAATCAAAATCGGTTAAAGCATACAAAACGAATGTCACAAAATATTTTTTTTACACTCATAGGAACAATAAAAGAAGTGAAAGCGAAGGTCGGTTTATGTGGTTAGGGTTGACGCCTGTTATTGCCTCTCTAGGAGTATATGGGGATTTGCTACATGCGTATTGAATGCTTTAAACGATTTTTTTTTGCTCCATTAGGTTTTGAAAACTCGACAAATATTAGTGCTTAATGTTTCCTGAATATATATCCATTATAGTTACCATTAATGCTCCGTTTTGATTAAAAACACAACTTTTTACAATTAAATGAAATCCTTTAGGTGGCCATCTTAAAAAGTCGTCCATAAGTCCACATTACTTGGGCATTATAACGAGACTAACTACTTGTTATACGATATCATTTACGCATTGTGAACAAGGCTTCATTTCAGCTAAATTAATACTACATTGATATACAGATATTAAGTCAAAACTAAAGTCCTACTATAGAAAGTTAACAACAATTTATGTGCTAAAAATTAATGTGCACACTTCCTAATGCTCCCCAGCTAGCTGTCGATCTGAATCAATGCTTCACCGACGAGCACTAAAATTAATAGAAGTATTTTGAAGCAATTTTTTTTTTTTTTTTTTTTTTTTTTTTTTTGCCAAGCAAATCAATTCAGTAAAAAGCATGGCGACTAACAAACTATACAGGTTTGAATACATGAAATATGTTTTTGTCCTACATTGATATAAGAGCACTCAGATTAACCTTGTTCGTATCATTATATTGTCACGTGTTTACTACTTCTGCTTCATCTACGGATTACCTTGAACTTCGACGTGTCCATCATGAGTCCAATTGTTATGGTAGATAATGAGTCGTTATTACAAAGTGTCCAAAAGTACTCCTTCACCGATTAATTTTAAAAGTCAAAAATATTTTAACATCATGCAAAGACGCTGATTAGGACCCGTGGGTGGAGTATGTGTCCTTTAAGATTTCCTCTTTCGGGTGTACCCAACAAGGTCACTCTTCTTGATGGTATGACCTTTGTTGGACTCGTGCTTGTTGATGCGCTTTCCATCCTTATCCACGGCGTGAGACAACACGAGCTTGCTTGGGTAGTACTCATACACTTTCCAATACGACCCAGCGTGGCCTCTGTCTCCGGCCCTATCTCTGATGTAACAGTAGTCGCCGATTTTGTAGATTTTTTGCTCATTATACTTGTAATTCCACCTCGGATCGCTTTCTGACTCGGGGTCAAAAAGCTTTCTTGGACGATCATCATCATCACTACCACTGCCGTTGCCTCCACCCCCTCTGCCACCTCCAGACCCACATTTGCCACCTCCCGAATATCTTGCAAAACCGCCGCCATTGCTACCGTTGAGTGGCCCAAAGTTTGATGCTGACGGTCGATTCTCTTTGACTGATACACCAAACGGAGAGGAAACTGGCCATTCAAGATCATGAAATGACGAAGTTTGCCGCTTTGCGTTGGTGTCGTCTTCCCCTTGGAACAAGGAAGTAAAAGCCGAAATAAACTCTTTCAAATTCGCCTGAAACTCTCGTCCCTTTTCCCACTTTTCATACAAAACTGGGTTCAAGGTTTTCGCACGCTCATAATAACGGGAGGCCGCCTGCGTTTTGCCCTCCTCTTCCAACACCTCTCCCAAATTCAGATGGGCGATCGTGAGAGTAGGACACTTTGTGATAGCAGCCTCAAATTGGCGCACTGCCTCCTGCTTATTGCCCTCGCTACGATATATTTTTCCCATTCCATAATGCGAATAATATGAGAACGGGTAGTTGAGTGCAATTACTTTTTGATGGGCTTTTTTGGCTTCGGAAGAGTTATTGTCATTTGACATGCAACTCCCGTACTCCTGCCAGAGAAGGCCACTATCAGGGTACCTTTGCACTGCTCTTTGTAAAATTTGGCGGCGATTTGTTCTATTGCCCTGCAATCCCTGTAATAAAGCCGTCACGGCCTCTTTTTCTGCGCCGGAACTCACGCGTTCTGCCTGCCTGAAATCCCTCAACGCCTCTGCTGACTTCCCAATGATTGCGTGGGCTTGACCACGATACCACAAAGCATTAAAATCATTCGGGTATTTTGCGAGGTGCTTGTTGAAATGAGGAATAGATCCCGCTTTGTTACAACTTGAGAAAGTGTTCATGCCACTCTGAAAAGCGGATCCTCCACCCCTGCCCGCTGCTGGTGCTGCCCCTCCCTTTGACATTATTACTCCACGGCAAACGGCTTAGACTTTACAGTCAGTGAGGAAATTCCAGTTTTGGGGGGCGGTGTTCTGTCCCAGTTGAACTGATAACCTACTTTCGTAGGTGATCGATCATCGATAAGGACAGCCAAAAAATATTAAAACATGTTTTTGACAGTTTATTTTGTTTAGACTACATAAGCGCAATTTATGATATGTATTTTTGCATTATTGAACATAACTGAATAAGCCACTGTCACAGTGATTAGCACTTACATATAAGAAAAATGACCCATACGACAGACAAAGATTAGGAGTATATTAGACTTAAGTTGTATACGTCTGGAGTAGGCAGACAATCATTGGTTATGTTCATGTAATCAGAGAGAATTGTGATTTTTGATAATTTATGTTTTCACTTTCTGTCTATTCAATTTTATTCGAAAAATGAGTTTATTTATTAAATCATCACATTTTTACATTATGGTAGACTGATGTAATATTTTAAAGTCATTTTACATGGTATTTGAATTCATATAATTAACAGATAAAAATGACAGCAGACCGTAAGCAGAGATTATGCTCGTACACGTTGTATATAATGTATTGTTGTTGGTGTTATTCTCACAAATTTATTAATCTATAACTTTATTTGTATATATGCCAGTGCGAATTGCATTATTATCGCAACTTTTGTGGTGCTGAAGATAAAACACACACATTATCTGCTAAGCTACCGATTGCAGCAGAGAAGCTCATTGCTGTTCCCCTGTAGATGGCGCTTTAGTACGGTTTGGTTTGTCAAAACTGGCAAAAACTGCTCAGATTGCAGCATACAGTATACCATATAAGGAAAGCCAGTGACCTACATAATGCCATTTTACTTTGGGGGTGTGTAAGGGTATGAAGCTTTATTTAATTAATTTAATGTAGTGTTTTATAATATGTGGGAAACAAAAGCTTGTTGTACATTACTATTTTTAGTACATTGTTAATCAAATTTTGTCTGTCAAATTATGGTCATTGATATATAGAAAGGGTGGTCACCTAGCCCTTCCTGCCTACTACCCCGATGGGTCACTTGAAACCTGAACCCTTTGAAGAGATGTCACTTCTTCTTCAGTTCTGAGTGACCAGGGTGTGGATGCTAGGCGGTCAGGATACCAAGTATATGGATATTTCAGGTTAACCGATTCAACGAAACGTTGTAAGACAATGGGTTTAGGTATTTGTCGAAATTTATCTTTGATGCATTTAAAAACGGGTTTGATGATGTTCTACATTGGGTTTTGCCATCCATCAACATTTTCCCCACGTGACATTTTGTGTCCTCCATGCCTCCTTTATTTCATCACGTACCTCATGACAGTGAAAATTGCGGTTGTGCCTCATGTTTAAACTACAAGAATATTAAAAATACATCAGTAGAATTAGAGGTGACAGTAAAGTTTTACATGGGAAATAGTCAAGTTGGGGAAAATTTTGTTGAGTGGCTCTTAAAAAGTTTGATTTTAAAATTAAGTGTTCTTTTATAAGATTGTGTCATAATCATGCACTACAAAATATTCACAATTGAAATTTTAAGAAAAGGATAAAGGTTTAGTGATATACTTCCATTTCGAATTTTGGCATGAATTTTGTGAAATAGTACTATAATATGTAATATTTCGATACAGTGAAGTATATGATTTATAGTTGCACTGCTTTCTGCGTGGCTGATCACGAAAGCAGCCATTTTCAAGGCATAGGGGGCAAATTGCTAGCGCCATTTGCAAGTAATATTTGAAGGTAAATTTGATATTTCTAGCTATTGATAAATGTGAATATCACCTAGCCTAATCAAAACGCTCTGTCCAAAGCAATTTATCACGATTTTTACCTCCAAAATTTTAAGCCTTTTGTAAAAAGACAAAACGAAGCCTATTTAACACTGCGTAGTCATTAATAACAAGACTTGTGTTATTTTGCCAAAAAATAAAACCGCCCCTTATGCCTTCAAACATGTTTTACTACAATTTAAAGTCTGGGTTTGCCTTAGTGACGTTTGTGAAACTACGTGCGGTATTACTCAGCAAGGCAGCAAGTTGTTGCTTAATGTTTATTTCACTGCAAATGTAGTGCTAAAAAAACGGAAAACTTATTTTTCTAGCCCAGGAAAACTGAAGCTCAGTTTGACCTTTTCATCAA